CCCCCCGCCCCACCCTCCGGGTACCGGTGCCCCCGGGTCCCCCTGCCTTGTGACCCTCCTCTCCCAGCGGGGGCAGCCACCGCTCCCAGCGGCCGGCTCCGGTCTCCCTTACCCGGGGCGTTCATGGCAGGATCGGTGGCGGTGGGTTCCGGGCAGAAGCGGGCCGGGCGCGGGGACGGAAGGGGCTCTTATAGCCCCGGCACCGGAAGTAGGAAGTGCAGCCAAAGCCGGCGAGCGGGCGGGAGGACGGCGCGAGCAGAGGGACATTCCAGCCGCTGGCGTTGCGCAGGCTCGCGAAGCGGGCGGGGCCCCCGCGAGGCTCCTCCCCTGTGCCAGCCCTGGCTTGCTCTTAAAGGGGCCGCGCCCAGCACCACCCGACCCGCAGCTCAGTTTGTACAGGGGGAGGGGGGATGAAAACCAAACTGTAAACCTGTATATGATGGAAACCACTCGGAGCCGGGGTACAGCAGTACCCCTAATTCCAGCCCCCATGCCTGCTGCAGCCTCCCCCCGCCCTGCCAAGAGACCCCTGGGCAGGCAGCAACACCCAGCAGCAAAGCCACTGATCAGCTCCTCCCAGTGCAGCCTCAAACCACCCACTTGCCTGGGTTGGGGTGCCAGGCACGTAGCTAGGCCCTTTTAGGGTTGCTCCTAGGCCCTGCACCAGGGACCACCCCTATTTCTCCATCACTGGATAACAAGGTCTAGAGTTACTGAGTGCTGGGGAAAGCACCGAGAAACACCCCTATGCACTGCGGGTGAGCACTGCCCAGCATTAACAATAACCACCATAATGAATATCAGGAAGTTGGGTGGGGTGGGAGTGCTAAGAAAAGTCCCTTGTTTTTTTAAATACAGTGTTGGCACCCCTACTTTCCAGGACAACCAGGGCATGTGCCCGGACAGAAATGGGGCAAGCGTTTCCAACCAGGCCAACAACACGGCACTTGACAGACCGCTTTTCTTCCAAGCATTCATTGCTATGATTTCATTTCAACAGTTTTGAACAAATTCCCAGAGTTTTAAACAGAACATCAAAGTACCTCACATAGATTATTTAAAAAAACAACAGTTCCTTATAATCTGATGTCTCAGACTACTGCCCTGCCACCACATTTTCCAACGCAGGTCACTCTCTGATAACCTTCCTCTTTTGTAGCTCAGTGAGCCACTTTTATAGGGCTCGTTGATGTCACCCTTTAGCTCCTGATTGCTCTCAGCAGGAGGAGCGCTGCCTCAACTCTTTTCACCTGTACAGGTAAAGGGTATCAGAGACTTAATCTGGATGTTAACTCGATGACTTCTGGATCCGGAGATAGGTCTTTGCACCTGTCACAGTGCTGATGATTTGGGTGTGTAGTTACGCAAGTGAAATAACATTTGACAGGGAAGACAATGTGTAGATTGCAAAAATTATGAGCTTGTATCTCTTGGGGGTATATTTATGCTTCCCCATCTCTTGTTTAATTGTTTTCCCGAGTTTTCTTTTTCAAGTGTTCAAGGGGAAATCTGCCCATGATTACCCATTTATGTCAGTAGATGAGGTTCTTTATTCAGAAGCAAAGTATTTCACTAGATTGTGCAGTTTGGTTGTTGTGTCAGGAACTTGCTGTTGCTAAATTTCCTTTTAATTTCCCAACATCTGATTTCAATATTTCTGTTTTGAGTTAATGACAGGTGCAGGAAAAGGCAAACCCTGTCCCCAGCAAACAGCCTGCGTAACCAGTCTGACTGGTGGTGATAGGTATGAAGAAATCTTTCCCCATGCAATGGGGTGACAACAGAGCACCTGCACAACCAAAACTACAGCCTCAGTACCAAGGTAGGCCCTGTGGCCGCTGCACTTGTATTTCAAGGGGAGACTAGACCGTCACTCTGTTTTTTCACAGATTCGTTGGTCCGGTCTCACCCCCAAAATTCCCCTGCAAACTGGAGCCCAGTAAGGCCTCACAGAGCATATCCCAGTCGTGCATAGGGAGAATGGAACCCTTTCACCTGGCCCAGAAACCTACTCTCATTCCCTGAACAGAATCACAAGGCTTCCCTTTCTAGCTGATGGCTTTGGAATTAGGTCTGGATTTTCAGGGATAGTGAGCATCCACAACCCCCACTGAGATCAGTGGGAGCTGCAGGCTCTGAGCATCTCTGCAATTCAGATGCAAATAAACTAATTATAAACTCATAGCATTATACAGCACTTTTCAGTCTTGTAGTGAAAAACAGCTAGTCAGGCTTAGTAAAGGGGATTACTCATTGCATAGAAAGTAATTTAAATTATTGTGTGTAATAAAGAGAATTTGTTTGTACTAAAGTTATTATGCTACAATGTTCTCTGAAAGCTAGTTAATGTTAAATTGGGAGGGATAGTGTCACTCCATCAATCAAGGACAGACTCAAGTTTACAATGGTTGAGAAACTCCTTCCTGTTGAGTAATAGTATCTTTACACTTTCTGAGAAGGATATTTGCCCATCAGAAACTGGAATTTATAGAATATGGGGTATGTGTACCGAGTCAAATTGTGATGACTCTTTAAAGGTTTGCTGGACTCCTGTGAAAAATTGTCTGCTGGTATATCTCATGGTCAGTGGGGAAGGGGAGATGACCTCTCAATTTTACTACTGGAGAACTGATTCTAAAACGATTGTTTATTTTAACATAGTGTTTGTAAAAGGTATTCGAGCGACCGCCCCAGGCCCTGAAATCCATTGTTCCAAACGAAGGGGTACAGTGGAGGCAGCAGCAGTGCTGGCTTCATCTACTGTACTACCTGGGTGCCTCGACGCTGGCTGGAAGGGGCCACCTCTAGGGGTGAGTCCCTGCGGGCGCTTCAGGTCTTTGCCTTTCTGAGGGGACTAGCAGCAAAGGAGAAAAGGAGTGAGTGCCCATTGTGCTGATGACCATGTCCTGGGAATTGGACTGAGACCCATTAAACGACATTTGGTCACAGTGGGCCATGGAGGGAGCTAAATCAGCATACGAGAGATTTTCTTTCTTATTACCTAACCACAGAGCTGTTCAGCCCCCAAGCCTTCCCTTTCTTAAGAAATTATCTGCTACTGGTATTTGTGCCCTTGACATCAAGCTCTTCGGGTTGTGACAACATAATCATTCCCATGGCAACTCATTGTGACTTCCACTGGGGCCTAATCAACAGGAACAGACTCCTAAGAAATAATGATCCTGATTACATGCAAACATCCTTTAGGAATAAAAATGGAGGCAGACCAAAAGGAAGCAATGTAGTCATCCTCTCCCCCTGCCCCTCCCCAGAAGGAATGTGTTCAAAGCAGTAGGTTATAATCAACATACATAAAGAACCATTTACATTTTGAAAGGATCATTGTGTAAAATAACAATAAATATAGAAGGGACTATATGAACTAGAGTAACTATTGCAATGCATAATGGCTAATCCCATCCCTTAACACAAGGGCATATGTCTTGCTACAGATGGTGCTTCTTAGGCGCACACAGTAACCTCAGGATTTCTTCACCTGGAGTAAAATGAAAAGGATAAATGTAAATCACTGTCTGATGTAAGGCAAAGTGGGCTGAATTCACCCTGAGCTATGCCAAAGTGCATGTCCAAAATATTGTAGCAGGGAAGCAAACTACAAAGGACAACTTTGGTGCTCACTTCCCCTTCAACCTCCCAGAGTTCACCCTCTATCATCATCCATGGCCAGAGACACAAACTGGATTGGGGGTGTGATCTGCAGGGAGTAGTACTTGACTCTCCGTGCTGCTCCTCCCACTGGGTTGTAATACCCCCGGTACAAGTAATCTACGAAGGGGAAAGGGGAGGTGCAGGCCGCTGGCCAGAATAATACTTTTGCAGCATTATTTTGCATCTGCTTTGACAGCAAAGAGGACCTAGACTTGGTCATTTTTAGTTTGTCTTAGTATCATCTTGTTTCACGTGGGCTGCCAAGGCTTAAAGAAGGAAAATATGGATCTTGGGTACCTATTGTATTCTGCATATGTTACAGAACAGCTAATGAAATGTTCTGTACCAGAAGCTAATTAACCCACATCCATGGTGTTTACTAATATTAGCTGCATTAATAATAATAATAATTAATAATGTTTTATATTACCGTAGCACCTTTCATCTAAAGATTTCAAAGTACTATACAAACATTAATAGAATAAGCCTCACAGCACTGCTGTTAGGTAAGGAAGTAAGATTGTTTCCACTCCATATTCTATTATAGAGACAGAAACAGATGAAAAATGAGTGACTTTCTCAGTCACTCAGCAAGTCAGTGTCAGAGCCATGCTGCCTGCCCTCAGTTTTTATACTATGTAGTCTTCCTCTTAGCAGCACCTTCAAGTGCACTGATTGAAACTGGCAAAGGATAAGAAAGGGTCCCTTAAGCGTCTGATAATGTACAGCACAAAGCATCACTAAGTCCTCCCATCGCTTCTGTACTGGCAACACTGCCTCCCACTTATTCGTGTTAAGAGAATCAAACACCCTAAACTGGAACTCAGCAGGAGGGGCTTTCATTATAAAATCCATTTACGATAGACGGCCTGTATCAAAATCAGATACTTACAGAGCTGTTTCACTTGGTGTTTTTTTTGTCTTTTTGAAGCACTAAAAATAAACACAAGCAACACAATCTTGTCATTATTGTATTTCAGAATGAAAGACTTTCACTAAGTATATTCATAACATACATTAGTACCGATCCTTTCATCCCACCTGGCCCCAAATGGAATATACAGGAATCACTTTACCTCCCACTGATATGCAGCCACCTCAGGGGGCGGGTTATAACAGTTCTCAAAACAGTATACAGCAACACTACACAACAGTATCGGACAGAAAACTGCAGGGCAATTGCATTAATAGTAATACAGGACACAACATATTTCAAAGTGCTGTGCAGATGTTAACTGAGTCATTTAGGGAGACGCACCATGATTGCCCAAACTGGAAAGCAGACAGGACAACACCTGTACTTTTGTGAAAAATGCCAGGGCTGGAAAGGATTCCAACTTGATATCAGAAAGATGGTACATCTGCCACCCGGCCAGGGTGCATGAGATCAGTACAGGCAGGGCCGGATTTCCAATTAGGCACAGTAGGCATGTGCCTATGGGCACTGGTGTTCTAGGGGC